TTGTTGAAGGTTACCCTGGCTGTGCATAAACTTTTTTTTTCTTCGTGTGTGTGTGTGTGTGTGTGTGTGTGTGTATGCGCGCATGCATGCATGTGTGTGTTTTCCATTGGGTAACAGTGTGTTTTTTCAGGATCCATCAGCTCCAAGTCAAGTAGTTGTTTCAATCTAGTTGTGGAGGGTGCAGCTCAGTGGCCCATGTGGGGATCGAACCGGCAACCCCGGCGTCATGAGCACTGTGCTCCAACCAACAGAGTTAACCGGCCGCCCCTGTGCATAAACTTTTTATTTTGATGTAGTCCCATTTGTTTCTTTTATTCTTTTACTTTCCTTGCCTGAGGAGATATATGAGAAAAAATATTACTAAGAGCAATGTCAGGGAGTTCACTGCCTATGTTTTCTTCGAGTAGTTTTATGGTTTCGGGACTTACATTTAAGCCATTAATCTACTTTGAGTTTATTCTTGAATATGGAGTAAGAAGTTGGTCCAGTTTTCGCAGCACCATTTATTGAATAGACTGTGGTTACCCCATTGTATATTCTTGCTTCCTTTGTCATAGATTAAATGACCGTATAGGTGTGGGTTTATTTCTGGGCTCTCTATTCTGTTCCATTGATCTATGTGTCTGTTTTTATGCCAGCACCATGCTGTTCTGATTACTATAGCCTTGTAGTATAGTTTGATATCAGCTATTGTGATACCTCTAACTTTGTTCTTCTTTCTCAAGATTGTTGTGGCTATTTTTTGAGGTTTAACATAAATTTTAGGATTATTTGTGCTACTTCTATAAAAAATGCTGTTGGTATTTTGATATGGATTACACTGAATCTACAGATTGCTCTGGGTAGTACGTACATTTTAATGATGTTAATTCTTAACATTATCATGGCATTTGTTCTGTAGGCATGTGAAAAGAAAGTGCATTGCGCTCTTGTGTGTTCTATGAGTGATTAAAATCCTATTCGTTGATGTTGTTAAGCTTTATATTCTTTTGATTTTCTGTGTAGTTGTTTTACTCATTATTGAGAGGGGAATTGAGATCTCTAATTATAATTGTGGATTTGTCTATTTCTCACTTAAGTTCTATCAGGTGTTGCATCACATATTTTGTAGCTTTGTTGTTTGGTGATACACATTTAAGATTGCTATGTCTTTTAATGGTTGAGTAATATTCCATTGTATATGCATGTACCACTTCTTCTTTATCCAGTTGTCTATTGATGGGCACTTAGGTTGCTTCCAAACCTTAGCAATTGTAAATAGTGCTGCAGTGAACACAGAGGTGCATAGATCTTTTTGAATTAGCATAAGAATGAAATGTTATCATTTGAAAAAACATGGATGGACCTAGAGGGTATTATGCTCTGTGAAATAAGTCAGACTGAGAAAGACAAATATCATATAATCTCAATTTTATGTGGAATCTACAGAACAAAATAAACCAACAAAGCAGAAACAGACTCAGGTACAGAGAACAAACTGATGGTTGCCAGAGGGCTAGATGAAAAAAGTGAAGGTATGAAAAAGTACAAAGTGGTAGTTACAAAATATTGGGTCGTTGGGAAAGTCATGATGTATTTTTGTTTTTCAATGCAAAAATGCATCATGACTTTTCCGACGACTCAACAGTAATGGGGATGTAAAGTACAGCATAGAGAATACAGTCAATAATATTGCAATAACTATGTATAGTGCCAGGATGGTACTACACTAATCAGGGGGATCACTGAATAAATTATATAAACATCTAACCACTGTGCTGTACACCTGAAAATAATATAAAATAATACTGAATGTCAACTATAACTGAAAAAAAATAATTTTAAAAGTTTGCTGTCTTTTTGACGGACTGACCCTTTTACCATTATGTAATGTCCCTCTCTGACCCTGGCAATTGTGTTTGCTCTGAAGCCTACTCTATGTGGTATTATAATAATATAGCCATTCCTGTTTTCATTTGATTAATGTTTTCATGGTATATTATTTTCTACCCTTTTACTTTCAAAGTACCTAAATCATTTATATTTGAAGTAAATTTCTGTAGAGAGCATATAGTTGGGTCATGTTTTTTATCCAGTTTGTAATCTCTGTATTTTAATTAGTGTAGTTTAAATCACTTACTGACTGATATGTTAGGGCTTAAGTCTGTCATTTTATTTTTTTCTGTACTGTTTTCTATATCTCTAATTCCTTATTCTTCCCTTCCTATGAGTTACTGGAACTTAGTTTAGACTTCTATTTTGATTTACCTATAGCGTTTTTGAGTGTATCTTGTTGTATAGCTCTTTCAGTGTATTTTCAAGATATTACATTATACAGAAGTGCCCAAAAATGTATACACATTTTAAGAAAGGGAAAAACTGTATTAAAATTGTAATACTCAATACATACCGATAATCAAAGATGAATACAAGTCATGTGTATACATTTTTTGGCATCCCCAGTATACGAGTATACCTAACTTATCAGTCTACTGGTGTTGACATTTTACCAGTTCAAGTGAAGTGTAGAAATCTGATCTCTGTTATATCCCTTTATCCTCCTCCATTTATAACTGTCTTAAATATTTTCTCTACAGACATTGAGAACCACATTAAACAGTTATAGTTTTTGCTTCAACAGTAAAACATAATCTAGAGAACTCAAGAGATGATGAAAAATCTATAGTATTTATCCATATTTTTGTTCTTTCCAATGTTTTTACTTTCTCCCTGATGTTTGAAGATTCCTTCTTTTATCATTTCCTTTCTGGGTAGAGGACTACATTTAGCCATTACTTCAGGGTAGGTCTGCTTGTGAAAAATTATCCTAGTTTTTATTTAACTGATAATGTATTTATTTCCCTTTCATTCCTGGAGGATATTTTTGTTTGATATAGAATTGAGTTGCCAGTTCTTTTCTTTTGGCCCTTAAAAATGTGCTACTTCCTTCTGGACTCCATGGCTTCTGATGAGAGATTAGCTATTATTCATGTTATTTTTCTCCTATAGGTGAAGCATTGTTTCTTCCTGGTTGTTTACTTTATTATTATTATTATTATTAGTTTCAGGTGTACAAAACAACATAATGACTAGACATTTACACCATTCCCAAAGTGATAACCCCACCAAGTCTACTTCCCATCTGACATCGTACATAGCTATTACAATACCACTAACTATATTCCCTATGCTGTACTTTATATCCTGTGACTACAGACACACATATACACACTTAATTATAGTCAACGTTCAATATTATTCTATATTAGTTTCAGGTGTACAGTACAGTGGTTAGGCATTTATATAATCTATGAAGCGATCCTCCCGATAAGTCCGGACCCATCTGACACCCTACAGTCTTTATAACATTATTGATTATATTCCCCATACTGTATTTCACATCCCTGTGACTATTTTCTGACTACCAATTTCTATTTCTTAATCCCTTCACTTTTCTCATCCAACTCCCAAATCCCTCCTATCTAACAACCATCAGTTTGTTCTTTGTATCTATGAATCTGTATCTGTTTTGTTTGCTTGTTTATTCTGGTCTTTAGATTCCACATATAAGTGAGATCGTATGGTATTGGTCTTTTTCAGTCTGAGTTATTTCACTTAGCGTAATTTTCTCTAGGTCCATCCATGTTGTTGCAGCTCTCTGGCTGTTTTGAACAATTTTCATGTTTTAGCTTTCAAAGGTTTGACCACGATATGTCTTGACACGAATTTCTTTGGGGTTTATATATTTTATAATGTACTTAGCATCTTGACTCTGTGGGCTTATGTTTTCTGCCAAATTTGGGGGTATTTCAGCCATTACTTCTTTGAATACTTTTACAGTCCCAATCCCTTTCTCCTCTCCTTCTGGGACTCTGATGACACTATATCTTTGTTCTACTGGTCCCTGTTGATTTTTTTCCAGTTTATTTTCTCTCTGTTATTCAGATTGGGTAACTTCTATTGCTCTGTCTCCAAGTCCACTGATTATTTCCTCTTATCTCCAATCTGCTGTTTAACCCATCTATTGAGTATTTTATTTCAGTTATTGTATTTCTTAGGTCTTAATTTCCATTTGTTCTTCTTTATATCTTATATTTCTTTGCTAAGACTTTCTATTTTTAATTTATATGTGGTATGTTCAGAATTGTTAGTCAAAGCAGTTTTATGATGGCTGATTTGAAATCCTTGCCAGGTAATTTAAACATCTGTGTCATCTTAATACTGGCATCTATTGATTTTCTTTCGTGGTCAGTTTGAGATATCAGTTTGAAATATTTCTGGTTCTTGGTATGATTAGGGATTTCTCAATTGAAACATGGACATTTTGGGTATTAAATCTTGTGTCTTAGCAGGTCCTTTCTGACACCACTCTGGTGGTTGAAGGGGGATACTGTCTATAGTCAAGTGGGAGTCGAAGTCCTGGTTCCCCACTCGGCCTTGCCTCACACCTCCCCAGCAGCAACAAGTGGGGCACCCTGTTATAGTCTGGCAAGCATAGAAATCTAGATTCTTCATTCAGGCTTTGCTGGTTGGGATGGAGTGGACCTCAGTTTTTCTGTGGCATTTGGCTGAAGTAGAGTGGTGGTTATTATCTCAAAATGTTCTGTGTTGCTAGGTTGTTCCTTTTGTATCTACTCCATCTTCCCAGAAGCGGAAATCTAAAGGATTCTTTTGAACACACTAATTTGACCATGTCACTCTGCAGCTTAAAATATCTCAATGGCTCCAACTACCCACAGGATCAAATCCCAAAATAAAAACCTTACTGAGGAGAATAGACTGTGTAAGATACAGCTCTACATTCCCAAAGTCCAGCATGCTTCTTGTAAATAGTAGTCACTCTGAATGCTTAACAATTAAAGAACTAGGGCTAAAGTTAATGCATTTCCCACACCAATATGTATCCTGGCGAATTACACATTTTCTCAAGGACTGCTCCATAGCCAAAAGTATGATGTGCTTACATAGATATTTTTGCTCTGCATCAAGCTTTGAGAGATCTATCAAAGAACTACACTTGCCTTCCGCAGGCAGCCGTCGTCGTATGGCCAGGCGTTCCAATTTCCGCTGTGTCTCTGACAGGCTGAAAAGGACTCCGTACACATATTGACGAGCTGACCGGAACAGGACGGCAGCTGGAGGCAGCTCCATGTTACACTCATCCTCAATACATACAGGGATCTTAATCTCACCCTAATAAAAAAAATGGTCCAGGGGAAAGGAGTAAACAAATTACCAGAAGGCTTGGAATTGAGCTGAGAAGAACCAGTAATGAACTGGAGCCTCTAGAGCCTAGCCGTTAAATTTTCTACTTGTATTTAGACAGCGTTTCAGACTACAAAGAAGTTGTAAAAAGCCCAACTGACCATAGCCAGGTTAAAAGCTGTGTTCCGTTTTTAAAGTGTCTGCTGTGACTGACTGTAGCTGACTAAATAGGGAAAGTCCATCTTAGACATTTTGCTGGAGAATGGATTTGTATGGTAAGAAAGGGTAGAGGGGAACAGCTCTGGAGAAACAGAGGATGAGCCGAAGAAAAAAGGGCATAAAGCCATCCCTGGACCAGAGTCCAGCTAGTCGGTGTACTATCTTCTTCAAGATCTCACAATTACACTTTCCTTAGAGGCCTCATTTACTACACAGTCCCATCTCCTGCTGATCTCGGCTCACCTGAGACCTTTAATACAATAAAGGGCCCCAGCACAGTTGGTCTCCTTTTATCTCCCTTCAGATACCAATGATCAGAATTTGCCCTGGCAACTTACAGTTCTAGGAAGTATGAAGGACACTATTAAGAGCAGGGAGGTAGATAGGTGCTGATGTGCTTTCTCACCTTAGTGAGGACATGGTAGATATACGGGTACATAAGACCCCTTCGGTGTCTGTGTTCAGCAACTCGCAAGACTTCTGGAGCTACTGGAGGTAAGGGAGGAATGGTGATGTCTATGTGGTTCCTTGTAGACATAGATAGCAGAGATGGGATGTGGGGCTCACCATCCCCCAGGTTGGCATCTGAAACTCCAGCATCAATGGGCTGTACCCAGGACCCTCTGTCATCAGTTGGGTTCTCCCATACAGGCGGCTGCTGAAGTGTTTCCGTGATGTGACTAAAAAAATTTAGAAACACAACACAGAAAAGAGAAAGGAGGTTGATAACAATATTCCAACTCAAGATGTCTATTCTGATCCCAAGGAATCTCTCTGAAAGTCAGGACTCTGAGTTAGAAATAGACCTGATACCTTTCCTCTCAGTAGTCTTCACTACCTTCCTGGCTTCTTTCATCTGACACAAACCAACACAATTGCCATCAAAAGTTGTGGGAACCATTCTGAATCCTTTGCACTGTGTAAAAGGCAGTATTTAGAGTCTGCTTATGTTCTAATAAAATAATTACAATTGAAACCTCAAACCTCAAAGCAGCCCTGTTTCCCAGGAATAATCTGCTTGGAGGAAGAATCTAGAAACAAGTGAGCTAATACAAAATTCCACTATTTTAATCCTCAGGACCCTGTCTTAGTTACTAAGCAATATAACTGCCTACTGAACTGTTCCAATACTTCAACTCTATAAATTCTTTTCATTTTTTAAAATTCAGTCAACCCCCCTCACAAACTGAGACATGACAGTCATGATATGTAGCACACCCATACCAGGCTTCCCTAACCAGCTGCTGCTATATGCTGCCTTTCACCTCAGAGGCCTGGGTATCTGAAAATTACCACCTGTACAGGATCAAAAGGAGCATGAAATGGCCAAGCAGAGAGAGAGTTTCCCTACTTTGCTTAAGAGCAAAGAGCCACAGAGAAAAGCCGGGGAAATATACTTTCCCACACCCCTGCCCAGGTTACCAGCAAGAGAATGCAGACGTTTCAGAAGTCTGTTCCATTGGGTGCCTATACAGATACTTACTGAGAGCTGGCTTCGTTTGGCTCATCACCATCAGAGGAAGAAGAGTGGGAAGAGTCTGGTCCCAGAGATGAGGCTTTGGAAGTCAGGTAATTGGGAAACTGGGGTGTAGAAGAGTCATAAGAGACAGCCCAACTGGCAAAGGGGCTGTTCTGTAGCATGGGGTCCTCAGAAAAAGCATGGGATTCCCCCAAAGCATGGGAGGAGAAGAGGAGAGAGGAGTTGGGTCCCATTGGGAATGATGGTGGATATTTCATTTTCTGCGGCACGTGGTGAGAAAACTAAAGGATACAACAGACAGAAAAGCTATTTAACATTTTAGCAGGCTCCAAGATGGTTCCCTTGAAAGTTGTGACATAGTCGATGCTGCCAGGAGCAGGGTTTATCAGGATATAAAGAACTTACTAACAATAACAAGAAATAATTCTAATAGTAATTTATGGACAGAATCTTCCAGAAGCAGGACAATGGACCAATCTATGTCTCCTACATTAGCTAATCTACTTTCACAATGCCCTAGTGGTTGCTGATTTAGATGTTTTTTTGTACATAGTCTGCCAGCTTCAAGTTGAGAACATGACATAGGTATATATAGCCTTGACATTCTAATAACACTGAATCACCCTATCTCCTAAACCCTAACTCTAATGCTAACAAATGGCCTCAGGCTTCATAAAAGATACTTACCATTGGCTTTCCAGCAGAGATAGTGCCCATCTGATGTCGTGGAAGGGGAGGATTTCCAAGCCGATTATTACGAAAACCTGAAGCTAAGACAAAGGGCTATAATTTAGTCAATCCTAATAATTCTACCATGTTACATTCTGCTAACCCCATTATCACCTGAAAAATTATTCATAATAAATAAGTAACAATTTACTGAACAACTACTATGCACCAAGACAGAAATCTTACATAAATTATTTTATCTGATAACAACACTATAAAGTAGGTATCATGAGCCACATTTCATACAAATGTGACTTGCCAAGATCACACAGCTAGTAAACAGCAGAGACGAAATTCAAACTCATGCCTAATCCCACAGATAGGGCTATTTTACATATATCAGGCCACAATGGAGTTAGCGCCAAAAGAAGCCCAAACTAAGGAAATGGCATTAGACCCCATCTAAAAATTTGAGAAATCAGGAACCGTCTCATGTCACATCTCCTATTACATGAAAATCAAAATGAGAATGTCTACCAAACAGGAATGCCTTCTAGGAGGGTGCAATATAAACAAGTGATTCCACTCTGGCCTAAGAGTTCCTGAGGGATGAACTCAGTTTCCCCTATGGATAGAACAGCTCCGGGTCAGGTGGAAGCCTTACCTAGAAAGGAGGAGGGACCCACTGGCAGCGAAGAAAGTTTGGTTGTGACTGAATAGTACTCAACTGCTTTCTTGAATCGCTCTATTTTATCTTCTGTCCTGGACTGGATGTTGGAACATCAGATGTTCAGAAGAAGAAACAACATGAGAGTATCTTTTTCATGCAATTTATAATTTGAGAGTCAGAACAGTAGCAGAAATCAAATATTTAAAGAAACCCAAAAGAGCAATTTTTCATGTTGCAGAAAAGATGAGATAGGGAGAAAGCATTGTAGAACATAGAATCTGCAAAGTTTTTAAAAATTAGGTTTAAGAATAAGTAAAAGTTTACTTACATGTTGCATTATTCTAAAATGGTCACATGATATTAGAAAAGCCATATAAGGATGTGGGAAAATTACACAGTACCACCACCCAAAGATATTTTGGTGTGTTTCCTTCTAGTATTTTTTAAAATAATTTTTTTCTGTTGCAGTACATCTGGACTATTTTAATACACATATTTTTCTATAGTTGATACCTTACTGTACTTACAATTTTGTATCCTGCTTTTAGTATAATTTTGAATGGCTGTGTATTTTTTTTTTCAAAGACTCCACTGGGGAATTGGGGGAGGGGAACAGCGCTGGGGAATCAGGGAAGGGAACAGACAAGTTGCCATCCCTTTGCTCTTTAGTCTAGCTGTGCAGGATGTGGCCCTACCAGCCCATGCTGACACCATCACTGCATCCTACCGGGCGAGGCAGACGGGCCGCCAGTCACTGGACGGCCACCCACAGCGGCCCCCGGCAGCGCACGCTGGCTGCCCGCCGCTCACGCCGGCTGCCAGCCATTCACGGTAGCCCTACAGCAGCCCACTGCAGCAGCGCCTGCAGCCTATGCTGTCACCAGGACCCACGGCAGCCCAGCTCCAGGTGGAGCTGTTGTTCACCATCTCAGCTACAGTGGGTGCAGCATCACCGGCCTCAAGGTGAGATCCGAACTGGGGCCCTGCCGCCCAGAGCCAGCGTCCCAAGCCAACTCTCAACCAACAGGCCACTCAGCCGGCTCGAATAGCTATGTATTTTATTAATATAAATATATCGTAAATTATATAACTACTTTCCTAATACCTGACATTTAGGTTATTTCTCACATTTGGCTACTATAAGTTATGCAGCAAACATATGTGTACATATAAGTTTTTTCTGGAGTTCTTATAATGTCCTTAGGAAAATGTCTATCCTCAAAGTGAAATTACTGGTTCAAAAGGTATGAGTATTAAAAACCAAAAGCACTTAAACAACATACAAAATCCACAATGTGACATCACTATATATCCACCAGAATGGCTAAAATTAAAGATTATAAATATCAAGCACTGTCCAGGATATGGAGTAACTAGAATTCCAGTACATTGCTGGTGGGAATGTATGTTGGTTCAGTTTGGAAAACAGTTTGGCAGTTTCTTATAAAGTTAACCAATATATTTGCCACATGGCACAGCAATTCTAATCTTAAGTATTTACCCAGGAGAAAAGAGTACATTTGTCCACCAAAGGATATGAAGAATGCTAACAACAGCTTTATTCATAATAGCCCCAAACTGCAAATAACTCAAATGCATATCAACAAAAGAATGGATAAATTGTGGTATGTCATATAATAGAATACTATACAGTAATTTAAAAAAGAACAAAGTGCTGATACATGCAACATACAGTTAAATCTCAAAGACATACTGAGTGAAAGAAGGCAGACACAAAAGAGTACATATAAAGTCCAAGTAGAACCAAAACTAATCTATGGCAACAGAAGTAAAAATACTGTTTACCTCTGTGGGGTTGGGACTGATTAAGAAGGGGTTTTTTTAAATCAATTCTTTTCTAATGTAATTCAAAAATCCTCTTAGTTATAATTTTATGACCTTCATAACATTTCATCAAGTAGAATATAGTATATTAAAGTCATTTCTAATTTCTCATTATAAATAATGCTCTGATAAGCATATTTCTACATAAGTTTCTTAGGTTCTTTCATAGGGCAAATTCTTAGAAGTAGAATTACTAGGTCAAAGGATATGGTCATTTTCATAGACTCCTGGCACATGATATCAAATCTCTTCCCAAAACAGATGTCTCAAGTTATACTCTCATCATCAAGCATGAGAGTGCCCAATTTACCATATGGCCCCAGTGTTGACTATTTTCTACAAAAAAAAAATCTACTAACTATAACAAACATTTGTTTCTTATAGAATAATTAAAATACATAATCAAAAAAGAAAAACTTAAAATATTTATAATCTTATCTCTCACGGTTTGTAATTATTAATATCCCAGGATCTAGACAGCATTCCAGATCTCTTCATTTGCATGCATGCAGGCACACAAAAACAGAAATCAAGACCTTCAGGTCCTCCAGCTTCACTCAGAAACAAAATCACTCTGCTTTGTAAAAAAATTGGACTTAATACAATTGTTTGAAAAAAGGGTTCCATGTCTAAAGAATGTTTGCAAATTACTGACTTAGAGAATAGCTACATGGTTAAATAAAGTTCCATTGTATCAAGGTTCCATTATTTATGTATTTATTATTTCCTTATTATATTTAATAACATATGTAATAATTGAAAACAAGCTTCTAAAAGATACAAGCTATACACAGAGTGTTCCTTAATATTTCTACCTCTGCACCCACTTCCTTCCCCAGAAGTGACTACCGTTACCAGTTTGGTTTATGTCCTGTCATAACTTTTGCTGTGTTTATACACACATATGTATATGCACCAATGTGTTTTTTTTCCCACCTACATGGAATCATATCATCACATATTTTTTAACCTGTTTTCTGTCCTTAATTAACAATATGTCTTGTGAGTGTAGATCTATAGTGCAAAACCCGGAAATACTGATTTATGTATACTTTCTTCAATGTACCACTCTGTTCTGTACTCTGACAGGCAAACATTTACTCTTCCTTCAAGAGGCGCCAGCCACTTCTATGAAACCTCTTCTTCTGTGAAACCTTCATTGTGTTTTTTTCTTTGGTGTGCTCTTATATTTGCTTCTGCTTTCCTATTTAACCTCAAGTTCTTGGAGGAAAAAGGATGGTTTGTTCATATTTATATCCTAGTGTCTAGCATGGGGCCTTGCCTATAGAAGTTCAAGTTCAGGCAGTACTTGATATATGATCGTATTTACTAAAGTCCTACTGTTTTCCTTTACAGATTCACAGACACCACAGGTAGCAGAGTAGAATCCCATACTGTTACACTATTACCTAGCAGTTTTTGCATGTCTATTTTAAAAAACTCTCCTCATAATTCTACAACTGTCAAAAATGATGTCTATGAAAGTTATACAGCAATAATGACAAATGGTTTAAGGCATAATATTAAATGAAAAAAGCAGGTTAAAAATTTTTACACTGAAATGACTACCACATCAAAATACACATATAAAAGGAGAGAAAGAAACATTGTAAACAATGTAGGGTGGAATTAGGATCAAAGTCTCTGTTTTTAATTTTTTGTTCTTTTTTTCAATGAAAAAGGGGATCTTTGTTATTAAGAATAGTCATTATCCAAGTTCCAAAATTCATGAAGCTACAAAGGGAAGCAAAAGCTGTAACACTGAAAATATTCAACTGAGCACTTATAAAATGTTTCCTCCATCTACATACAATGGAATATTATTCAGTCTTAAAAAGGAAGGAAATTCTGACACATGCTACAACATGGATGGACCTTAAGATTATGCTAAGCGAAATAAGCCAGTCGCAAAATGACAAATACTGTGTGATTCCATGAGGTACCTAAAGCAGTCAAAGTTGTAGAGACAGAAAGTAGAGCGGTGGTTGCCAGGGGCTTTGCGGGAGGTGGAATGGGAAGCTCTCATTTAATGGGCATAGAGTTTCAGTTTTACAAGATGAAAGGAGTTATAGAGATGGATAATGGTGGCGGTTGTACAATATTATGAATGTATTTAATACCACTGAACTGTACACTTAAAATGGTTACGATGGTAAATTTCATGTTATGTGTATTTTACCACAATAAAAAAATAATTGGGGCCGGCTGAGTGGCTCAGTTGGTTAAGAGCTCGCTCAAGAGTTTGAGCTCTGAGCAACAGCGGTTCGAGTCCAGCCCGAGCTGAGCAGCCGTTGAGCTGCCAATAGGTAGCAGGATGGCTCAGCTAAAAAAAATAAAATAAAATAAATAATTGGAAGAAAAATTTACTCTCCATCTAAACAGTATCTCCTACTTAAAGCTAGCATTTCTTCCTACCTGACATGTCAAATGCTTTCTTTGTGTGTCAGTCTCTTCCTAATTGTCTAGTGCAAACAGCTGAAAGTACAATGCAAATCAATGAAGTGAATAAATAAGCAAATCTTTCATTTAAGTCAGGATTTCCTAAAGTCAAGGAAAATAATAGAGGACTGTTCACATTATGCTAGGAGCCACCAATGAATCAGGATCTGGTGCAGTATTAGTGTTTAAAACTGTGAAAGGGTGGAAGAGAGAATTATGAAAGATGATGGCAGGAAAGGCACTTGAAAAGAGAATGATTTGAATATCAAAAGAATGAAAGACCTTTTGGAAAATAAAGACCAAGTATGCTTTTTATAAAAAACAATGTTCTTGGGGTGACCAGTTAGCTCAGTTGGTTAGAGTGTGGTGCTGATAACACCAAGGTTGCCAGTTTGATCCCTGCATGGGTCACTGTGAGCTGCACCCTCCCCTAAAAGAGTCACCTATTCCACTGTAGCATGAAAGCAATGTGCAACCAATGACCATGGTTGTTCACCCCCAAAATTAAACAAACAAACAAACAAAAACAATGTTCTTTATGATTGTGCTAGAAAGTTAAACCTGAAGTAATGGATACTAGAGGGTGTTATCATAAAATTTTATTAGGAAAACTTATGTACCCAACCAAACACTGGTATTTTATTCTTTATT